ACCAGAATGTCCACAGGCACGTAATGCAAAGGGCTGATTGAGTGCAAACTCACTCTGCCAATTCAACTGTCTTCGCAGTGTGTTGAGTCAGTTGTGTACCAGCCATCTTGAAGCTGGTTCGGGGGTTGTCTGGCTGCCCCGTGCTAACAGCATGCTGGATCAGGTATCGCCTGTCCTCTTCCCACCCGGATAAAGCCTAAAGCCAGCATACATGCTGTCATCAGTCTCCAGCTAATTTAACAGAAATGCAAACTTGGGCTTATTCCTGATCCACAGCAGAGTCATCCTGCTGAGGAAAGCCAGTAGAGCCCAGTTTACGTTAACGTCCATCAGGCAGCACTTCGCATTGGCTTCACAGTCGTTCTCCACAGCTGAAACACCGTTACGATCCATACCCGGCAATACCATCTATCCAGATAAGTGTTCAGTGTCGTGTATGAGCATAGAGCACACATGCACATACGTATTTAAGCAGTGTGTACCAGTCACAAGTCTTCTACGTAATTCTGCAAAAGACCTTTCCTCTTTAAGTAAGCATCTTCAAAATATTGTCTTGCATAAGGAACGCTGGGGATTTTGTCTGTGGTTAACCTGTCTCTTTCTGTTTGTTTATTATAATCCAGGACAAATGATACTGGCCTTCTTGCTTTCAAAGACCATTTGCCTGTGACTCAGATAGTGATCACTGACACAAACAGATCAAATTCTGAGGCTGCTTGGAAAATCGGCCCTTTGCGTTGCTATGGAGACAGTGAGTACTAGCTCTTCTCAATTTCCATAGGTATAGAATGTTCCCTCTTTCTTTCTGTTTTTGTTTTTGGGGTTTTTTTGGGTTTTTTTTGTTTTTTTTTTTTTTAACCCCACTTATTTGTTTGATGAGAGGTCGCTTTTCAGGTGCCGCTGGCAGCTGCTGTCCTGTGCCAATTAACTATAGAGAAGGGGGTTGTGTTTGCAGGGCAGTTCTGGAACGCCGCTTCCTTCAACACGGAGGCCTCCTACCTGCACTTCCCCACCTTCCATGCCGAGGTCAGCGCGGACATCTCCTTCTTCTTCAAAACTACTGCCGTCTCCGGGGTCTTCTTGGAAAACCTTGGGATTAAAGACTTCATACGACTTGAAATCAGCTGTAAGTTTCACCACCAAGAAGTTTGGTATATTTGCCCAATTTGACAGACACAGAGAAGTGGGAAGGGCATTTTTTTTTTTCTGTCTTGAGACAGTTGGAGGTGCTGCAAGAGGATAAGATGGAGACATGAAGACTCATTAATTCAGATTTATCTATGTCTCCTGTCAGAGTTTCCCTGTGTAGCCTTTGTCATTACACTTGATCTGGTTACGGCTAGGTTTATCTTTCTTAAACAAGTGACTGAGTTTACTTTCCAACACTGATATTTTTTTTTTCTCTTTAGAGAAAAAGCTACTGGTTAGATGTACTAGTAGACTGTAATTTTAGTTGAAAGATGGAAAATTTAATACAACCACTCTGACGGCTACTTTTATTTCTGTATCATCAACATACGCACTCTGATGCAGCCCTAGTCTTTCACGGGAGCTCAGTGTGTATGGTACGGCTATGAGATGAGAGTCCATGAAGGACAGGATGCTAATGCAAGATAAGTCAGTCACAGTCACAATGGGCCTTGAATACTTCAAAATCTAGTAAGTGACTGCAATACGACTGCTACTCACTATATAAAGGAGAGTAGCAGGGAACTTAATTAGTGAGGTTTTGCCTTCTGATGACTTCAAATATTTATTAGTGGCAGAAGAGTACTTTGTCTTTGACATGAAAAATTACTTCTGTATTTTGAATTCTGTCAAACTTCGGAAAAACAAACTGAGTGCTATGCATTTTATAATATGCTTATAATAACCCCAACGTAAAATTTAATAAAACAAGGCCCCAAGGCCCTTTGAGTCATTAAACCAATGGTAAATGTCATGGTGTATTATCACAAGGTAATGAGGTATGATTTGCTGTTAATTGCACATCAAAGTCCAATTTGTTTGTACTTCAGTGTACTGCATTTCATTTTCAGGGATGTAGAAGTAGAAATTGCATTTTGATATCAAATATAAAAAAATACTGTAAACTACTAAGAAGATTGTTGAGTGAAAGCTTTTGCATGTGTGTTCAATCTGTACTCCTGGAGAAATGAGTTATTTAAAAGTTTAGGTAAAGTCTTGTCTTTTAAACTTAGGCTTCTCATTAGTAGTTTGGTGTTGTGTTTCTTGCTGCCAGATGGAATTTTCAGCCTAAAGGCCTTGTATCAAGGAAGCTCTACAGACCAGCTGCTTCGAAGGGAAACGGCCTTTTAGCAGATGCAGGGGCTCAGAATAGATCTTTGTCTATCCCTATGGAGTGTTTCCTATCTTAACTATCTAAGAAGCAGCTTCCAAAACCAGACCTATCCAATTTGTTGGGTTTGAAATAACAGGGGTTTATGAATTTTCAGTCCACAACCTTCTGGCCTTGTGGTCTTGTTGACCTGGTTCTTGGTCTTTCTGGTGTATTTAGCATTTTAGGAAGAGGAAAAACAATCAGTAGTAAGAATGTTAGAAAGTTCTGGCCCCTTTCAGGCTTCCAGCAGAGCAAGAATGACTCATTTATATGGCTATTGTTTTCCAATTATGATCCTGTTTCTAGGAGCCTTACTATCTCTGGACATGTGTTACATATGCCTCTAGTTTAGGATCACCACTGAACTGGTTTTGCTCATTCGCTTTTCCTTGCTTCCTGGGTCAGGCGTATTCAGGCAAATGAATGCTTGTAGGATTCTCTCCTGCTATATGCAGCCAAGTTCTGTGATTGTTACGTACATGCATTTTGAAGGATTTAGTCAGAAATAGCTCCTTCATCCTTTCTCCCATATTAGCATTATTTGTTCAAAATATTTTGCTACCAGTGTGTGACTTTTGTACACTATTTGGCACTTCTACTTCAAAAAGAGAATAAACTACTATTTCTAGAGCACTGTAATTGCCTTAGCAAAAAAAGATGGGTAGCCACAGCCAAGCATAATCACAGCAGAGATCAAACAGGCTGCAGGCTTAGATGCATGTATAAGCTGCTGTGTAGGAAATGGGAGGTAAATGATGTACTATTTGCTGACATAAAAGTTAATGGACCCTATATTTATGTAAGATTTCTTGATGTCAAAACCATGATTTAATTCAGACCTTCACTTCCTCTTCACATGTTTATCTGTTCCAGCCCCCAAAGAGATCACCTTCTCCATAGATGTTGGGAATGGCCCCACAGAAGCCACTGTGCAGTCTCCCACACCCCTGAATGACAACCAGTGGCACTATGTGCGAGCGGAGAGGAACCTCAAGCAAACCTCTCTCCAGGTGGACAGCCTCCCCAAGAAGGTCTTGGAGGCACCTGCTGAGGGGCACTTCCGCTTGCAGCTCAACAGCCAGTTATTTGTAGGTAGGGACCATTTAAGGGTTTCTGTAGATCTGTACAACATTTCTATGTCCATAGCATAGTAATACTATTGTTTCACTGTTGAGCCTGTGTGTAGAGACCTAATTCTGCTTTTTCTTATTCCACCCCTCTAAAGGCAACGTAAAGTAAACCCAAACTGCTGCTTTATACTCAAAGCACTAACCACACTTTAACCACGCTGTAGTAGATGGTATTTTTAGCGTCTAAGATTGCTTGAAATATATTTATTGCCAAAGTATTCATAGTATTTCTTCTTGTGCAGCACTGGCTGAGTAATTTGCTGCAGGAAATGTGATGTCTCTTTTTAGATGCAGTGTAAAAGGCACAAATTCTTCATACACGTTTCTAGGGCAAAGCCTGATAATGCGTTCTTAAAGTCTGTTCCTTCAAGCATGCCTGCCAAAACCCCTGTTTGTCCATAGAGTGCATGTGTGAGAGAACTATGAACACAGCTAAAACAAATATGGTTATTTTAATTGCAGGTGATCTTTCAAAGGGGAAAAAAAAAAATCTTTGTTTGCATATAGTTTTTTTCTCCTATGTCCCTTGCAAATGAAATTTGGAATCGGACCAGTTTGTATTTGATAATATAGTCAGTGATTACACAAAGACTTCTCCCTTTCCTATATTCAAACACTGTCTTTCTGAGTAATCTGCTCAGTGATGGAGTGGGTTGTAACCTGCTTCTTATTCAGGGCCACTCAGGTAAATACTGATCCTTTCCTTAAAATGGATTCTCTTAGCTGAAATGCTATAGCAAACCTCAATCTGTCAATTCATCTTAATAAAGTTTACCTGTGTATCCACACCCTTTGCTTTAAGAAGATTTTGGGGTATTTATGTGAGCTTTTTATAGCGTATGTGTGCTGGACATACGGGGCTGTGAACGTGGTGAATTAATCTGTTAATAAATGGATATAGCTGCATAAGTGGCCAGGAATCCTTAGCTCTGCCTTCTTAGTCTGGCCCTTAGCTCTACCATGAATCAACATAGCTGTCAATTCATACCTAAAATTAGCTCTCATAGACTTAACCAGAGAAAAGTTTGCTGAAGAACTCAAGAAGGTAAGCTTAAGGCTGTTGCAGTGCAGTGTTTCTGTTTTCTGGTATGAAACATACTGCTAATCACTTGTTTCCCAGATACTAAGATGATCGTAGGAACATGTTCTGCAGGAGGCCAGGCCTGAAGGAGGTAGGGCTGGGCTGCTAGACGCTTCAGACACACCAGAGAAAGCTAGCCAAAGGTACTGTTTCCAGTTAGAAAACTGAGAATTTAATGACTGAATAGACTTGCAAATTTTTGGTTGTTTCCCTTATAAAGGAGTAAAAATGCAGGTTTTATCATAAGTCTGGTTAGCTGAATAGATTGCATTCAATTGTCCATCCACACTTGTGCTGAACCCTGAACAAAAGGGACAGCAAACCTAATGTTTTTAGAAGGGTTTTTTTGGCCCTTAGCTTTTGGCTCTTTGGCCCATATTGAAGGCCAAAACAGTCCGTGACTTTCTGAGTTTTCCTAGGAGCAGTCAGAAGAGGTGGAAACCTGGGCAGCCTCCTGATTCTGACACTGTTTGTCCCCAGGTGCTCCAGGGAAAGGTGGCAGAAGTTCAACAGTACACAGATGTGGCATAATTTGTCTCTACTGAAGGTGTCATTCCAATCTCTAATAGGAAGCAACTGATTTAATACCTCAGCCATGCAGAGTGACTTTTATCCTATCTCAAAAATACATGCATAAACAGCATTGGAAAAAGGAAAGAAGCAGCAGCACGTAATACTACTCCCTGCTTCCCCCATAATCCACAATGTATTTGTTTCTGCAGCATTCTGCATACTGACAGTGATTAAAGGGTTTCCACAATTAGTGTGCACAATCTTAATTAATAATCTACCTAACATACATGAATAGCTATTTTAATAATGTTCCAAATATTTTTTAATTGAATCTCCCTATTTTGTTCCATTTGAATATGAAACACTGTTTCCACACTGGAGGTAACTAGTCAGTAAGATATAACCTTTTTTTTTTTTCTTGATTCTTCTCCAGAATCAATTCAAATATTTTGTAAATCTCATAAATAAGGTTCAGTGACAAAATTTAATTTAGTTTATTTATCTTCTGGAAGGATTTATTGATCCTTTAGGATGACAGAACTATATTAGTATCATGTAGCATTATGATGATGATCGAATGGAAATCCACTGTGGCTTTCAAACTACAATTACTTTCCTATAGCTTGACAGACATCAGCCTATGTACAGTATAGGTGAGGTGTTTATGTTAACTCCCTAAGAAGAAAAGTCTTTCCTTTTTTGGGAGTTATATACATCAGAACACATATATAAAATAAATCTGGACATTTGTAAGATTTGACTACAGGAGTAGTTGGCATATAACATAATTTTCAAGGAATTCTGATAATTTGAACCAATTCATTCCTTGTCGACTGCTGCTCCTGTTTTATGAATTATTTACTTCAGTTTTGGCCATATTTTTAGAAAAGAACCAGATATATTTGGGACTGTAAGTAATAGAAGAATTTAGCTCTTGGGTTTTTACACTGGTTTGTTGGGGTGTTTTTAAAGTTGGCCTGTCAGACAGACTTTTTACTTTCTATGATTTATAGTAAAGAAGGTTAACACTTCTCCAGCAGTGTTAACAAAACAGTCAGTTGTAGACAGTCGGGGAGCTGTGCTTCATTTACTTCTGATCCGGCCATACTGTCACGTTGTGAGGAAGCTAATCAGCCTTTAAATACTCTGTAAGTGTGGGAGTTAAGAAGGCCTGACGTTCCTTGGAAGTTTATCTTCAGATTGACTGACTTAGGTATTTTAAGAGATTTAGGTGTTTACTGAAGATTTTCCAATGACTAAGCACAGAGAAGGATTTCTCTTTTATGTGTGTAGGTTCTTTTATGGCCAGTAAGGGACGAATTCACACTTCAGTCTTCCTAAGTGGAGACCTTGATGCTGTTTTTCTCTTATTTATCCTGCTACCAATTTTCTTGAAATATGGGACAACGTAATATTCACTCTCTTAAATTTGGGCAAGGAATTTAAAAAGACTGTATTCAGAGATAAAAATATACTACATGTGTAAGCAAATATTCTCTTCCATAAGGAGCCAAACCAGAAAAACCCCAAATCACAACAACTCTCTAATCCTTTTAGATGGAGAAAACACTGAACTAATGCAAAGCTGTCCCCTGAACATGGAAAAATGTGAACTTGAGTTTTCTCAGAGGGGTACTGACTGATACATAATGGCAATGAGTTCAGTGTTTGGATGTCATAGTTGCTTATTCCAGCAGAGAATTCCAGATGTCCAGAGACTACAGCAGAACCTGGGAGTCTCACCATGACTTTCATTGTCCCTGTGTTAATTTTGAGTTGTGCATGTTCTTGAACATAAGCCAGTCTGGGTATGGCTAGGGTAAAAATCAATTTCCAGCTTGCCCTGTGTACCTAGGCATACCCATGGGTGTTTTTAATGTTCTTAAACTGCATTTCTGTGGAGTATCTCGAAGTGTTAGACATGTCTTACTGGGCTTGAACTCCCATTACATTACTTGGATTAACAATCTGCTAGAAAGGTGCTTCACTCACTTCTGGCCTTGTTAATCATTAAGTAGCTGTAATTCATTATCTGCACACTAATGCACCCACAAATCCATTTTGAAGTTGATAAAACATCACAGAATGGTTCAGAGAAGTTCACGGGTTTTACATATCCTGGAAAGGTGCACTAATGTAGTGATTTCTGTTTACCTCAAAGTCTTTCTTTATGCATCGATGGTGTATAAAAGGAATTGATAAATCTGAGAATCAGGTCCTTCTTCCCATATTCTAATATTAGCAATTGTATTCACAGTAATACTGCAATTAGAGTGTCCTTTCTTTCTACACCCTCTGTTCTCCATTCAGTTCTGCCCTGCCACCTTTTATTGCCATGTTTAGTGTTTGATACAATGGCCTTGGCTGTTCTTGTCTGTCTTTTCTGCCCTGCATGTCTGTCTTTGGGGGATACTCCCCTTGGGAGAGCAGAACCCAAGCATTTGCTCTGGCCAGCACACCACATAGCATGGGCAAGAAACTGTCGTTGACTGGTGTTCTCGAGATTCCTGTGCAGTGATGATTTCTTACACATGCCATTCAAAACAAACCCTAGAAGATGGCTGCCTTCTCATTGGATCTGCCTGGAGGTAGAAGCAGAGGAGGGGGAGACAAAAGGAGGTGTTCAAATCTATTACTTCTCCTGTTATCTCTTCACCCATAGCAACACAGTGTGACAGAATTCAAATTCTCAACTCTTGTTATATTCCATCACTTCCTATCAATATCTGACTGTATTCAGTTATGGTTTCACTCTGCTATGGAGAAACAGTTATACATACCAGTTTTATAAAGCAGGAAAACTCCTAATACTTATTCACACCACTTCAGCCTCCCTAATCCAGTTCTTAACAACAAAAAGCCCTTTATTTTAAAGCAAATCCTCAATTCATTGATAGAATGTTAATAATTTAGCCAGTTGTGTTACCCAGCTACACTATGAGTGCTCAGTTGTGAACTTCTTGCGCCTTCCTCTCAGCCTCTCTTTGCTGCCCCAAGGCCTCTCAGTAAAATTCAGCTGCATAAACACCTTGCTGAAAGCAGCGTAACTATTTGACTGTCACCTGCACTCAGCCAAGAACACCCTTAACCTTGGTGGTTTATGGTCCTGAGGCTGATCCTAAAATCTGGTTTTCTGAACAAAACAATGAGGTTGCATCCATGAAATTGTCCAGTTCAACAGGTGTATTAGTGTGGGAAGAATCTGCAAAGCCTAATTTGGGGAAGAGTTTTGTTTGTTTTCAGTTTTCCTCTGCTTCCCAGGAATGTATCTGAAGATTGGGTCTAGTCAATTGAAGAAAACTGTCCAAAAGCCCAAATAATAAACACATTTGTTTAATCAATACTGCATAGATTTAGGATGATGTAGATGGTTTATGTTAAGCTCTATACTCTGCAGACATTAGAGGAGGAGTGAGAAACTTACTTTACATTGCTTTCCGAAGTGCTTTAGAGAGCAGTAAGAATATGCAATCCAACGTGACACCTGTGGAATAGTTAGCAATAGTTTGTACTCATTCTTTAAATGTTACTGCTGGGAATTGTATGTGTGTGCAGAGAGAAGTCAAGGAAACTGTCATTTATCCTTGTAATATTTGTGGTTACCTCCCATGCAAAAGAAAACCGTGACTTTACAGGGAGAAATCACATTTCTACTTCACTGGACATTACTGAAAATTCTGTATGGTATGTTTGGTTTTGAAGCAAAATCTCCGAAGACAAGGACTGTGTGTACACAGTGCATCTGATGCAGAAGGCCTGGCTCCTTGTGCCTCAGAGGGCCTTCGACGTAAGTCAGTTAACATTTGCTGTCCTGGAAAAGAGTAGCTGTCTAAACAGGAATTTGAAAATATTTGTATCTCTGAGAAAGGCATCATAAAATCAGCATGAAATAAATCTGCCTCACAGATACTATCCTATAGTTCAGTTACACTAATTCAAATTAAGTATTTCTGCCATTAGTGTACCAGGAAGAAAAATATGCTGGAATGGTATAGCACAAAATAGGGTTTTGGTGAGATTCCTTTTCAGACCATTGCTTTATTCTCTTAGTTTCCAGAAGTCTAGCTTTAATTATACAGTTTAAGAAAAAAAAAAAAAGATGCTCTTCTGCAAGGACTTATCAAAAGATGTAATCTTGTATCTCATGCACTTTGATATAGAACCAGGAACAAAAGAATAATTTGGAAAGATAGCTTTTCATACTACTTCTGCAGGAGAATCGCCAATAAAGCTAGCATTCCAGCACCTACAAATGCTGTTAACTCCTGAACCAGCATTAGATTTCTTAGCAGCAATCAAAACTGCAGTACCTTTAAAAGCAAAGCATTGGCAACTGCCAAACAAAGCCTACAATAAGAAAAATGGTGATATTTTCACAACGTACTCTAACATGTCATTGTTGTTATTCCCAGAGACCACCTCTTACAGAAAAAGTGTCTTTATTATAACACTGTTATCAGTTTCGTTGGGCAGGTAAGAAGCTAGTTAGCTTGTAGAGACTGAACTGCCCTCTTGCATAGATCCCTACAGTTCTGGTCTTCAGGAGACAGTGCAATTATGTCTAACAGTTGTAATAAATAACACAGCTGTGACCTGAACTCACGTTTCTTTCCTACAACAACCATTCACATGCAACATCAGGTTGGGCAGTCATGCATAAATTCTGACTCCAGTCATTTCCCTTCAGCCAGCAGGCCTGGTGCTGAACATGATTCATCTCTGCTATCTGGACTCATCAGCATGTGTTAACTCACCTGCTGTTGGGATTAGAGTGTTATTTATACTCCGTACTATGGCAACAAATAGAAAAAAAAAAAAATTTAGGTTTGGGTTTCTCATGTATTAGGTGATATGCAGACGTATGATAAAGAAGCTAATCTTTTTCCCAAATGAATTTGCAGTTTAAATGCCAGACAGGGCAGTAGATAAGGCAGAAAAGAGAGGAATGGTAACAAGGTAGTGTCACATGCAGCTTTTTAGTCCTTTCATAAAGATAAATAGAGACCTTTCATTTCCAGGACTGTCCATCTGTCGTCTTTTGCCACTTTATGCATTGATATATGACAGATAATATTTTTTTAAATTCATGGATTCATATTTGTACCACTGGATTGGACTTAAGAGCTTTGATTACTGTGCAGACTGTCCAATGAATGTATGTCCTTTTTTTCTGTCTTTTTTTTAGGGGGAACAGCTTCCAGACAAAAGGGCTTTTTGGGATGTCTTCGATCTCTGCATTTAAATGGACAGAAACTTGACCTTGAAGAGAGAGCTAAAATGACACCCGGTGTTAAACCTGGATGTCCAGGGCATTGCAGCAGTTACGGTAACCTGTGCCATAACGGGGGAAAGTGTGTGGAGAAGTATAATGGTTACTCCTGTGATTGCACCAACTCCGCCTACGAAGGACCTTTCTGCAAGGAAGGTAGGCAGCGAGCTTTGCTCACGAGTCCTTAGTGATCTCTGAATTACCGCCCAGTTTGACCCATGTCAGCCTTGTGCCCCTGTGATACCTGTTCTGCTCTCAGCTGTCCCTTCAGCATTGCTCAGTGTTTATCTGAAGCAGGCTGTAACGCCTCCTTTGGTTGACTTCAGTGATGGCCTCAGAAATTAAAATGGTGTGAGTTGTACTATTACAGTTACCAACTACAGCCCGCTCTGAATCTGTATTTGATTGCATATAACTTGGCCCAGGCATTAACAACTAGGGCTGAAATTTTTCATAACACTTGTCTGCCCACATCTGAATGTTTAGTTTGCTTGGTTTTAAATCTCATCCAGCTCTGTCCACCTTAACAGAATCTCGAGATCTTTTCATTACAGAGTTTCAGAGCAATGGTGTGACAAAAAGAGCTAGTCATTTTGTGGTTTTTTTGCCATTCATGTGACAACCCATCCAAACGTTAAGAGATTTTAAAAATAAACGTGAAGCATTCAGGAGAGAACTGATTTGCATGGTTTGGTCTCTGGTGAATGTGTCCTCACTGAACCTTTCTGGTGGCTCATAGGAGATGTTGCCTACACCAGAAAAAAGTGCAGGGCAGATAAAGGGCGTCCAGTTTAGATAATATGGTCATTGGAAGAGGAGGGAGCTAGCAAAACTCCTGCTCAATAACAGCAAGGTGCAATGTGAGTGTTTTAATTCCCATGGCTACCCCTCACCTCGCGAGGTTTTTTACTCAGAGGGCCGCATCATCTGCTGGTGTAAATCGGCTTAGTTGTACCGCAGTCCACGGAACTATGCCCGCTTACATGAGCTGAGGATTTGGCACCAATGCCACGAGAGGCGTATCAAATATCCACATAGCGTCCTGTTAGGAGGTGCTGCTCTAGGGTGGAGCTGCTTTATTGGAGACAATACGTGCAGTTTGTAGCTGAAGATACCACCATCCTGAATTTACTGTGCCTCACATTGGAGAAAACTGCTGTTACCACACCTGTGTATTTCACGGCCAGAGAACGTTGTGTTTATTGAAAACACAAGTGTGAGTTCTTGGGATCTGAGCATGCACAGGTAGATGTTCCTCTTCTTTTGGAACCACCAAAGACAGCTTCCATTACTGGCTGTCTTTGGGTCAGTGTGTTGCTTTAATAATGACACTGTTTAAAAAGGAGACTGGAAAAGACAAATATATGGTCTGTACTGTGGGGGAAAGAAAGAATATTGCCGTACGTGTCACCCGTCAGAAGATAGTGAACTGAACATTTATTTGGTTGATGGGTATTTTGGCCTGTTCCATCTTGTGGACCTCTGATTCCAGCACTGAAGTAGTTGAATTTAGAGGCCTGTCTCCATACACTGCCCTTCTCCGTGCCAGACAAGTAGGCTGTAAGGAAGGACATGCTGCTTGTCCAAATTAAGAAACGGTGATGTCAGCTGGGTCAGGGACATTTTGCAGTGTTCTGCTTCTGAGGCAGTCAGCTCATGTCCATGCCTGTCTGAGAGGTCTGAAAATGCAGTAGCTGAAATAATTCCCTTGGTTTATATATGCTTTCAGAGGTTTCTGCATTATTTGAAGCTGGCACTTCCATTACCTATATTTTCCAAGAACCTTATCCTGTCACAAAAAATGCGAGCACCTCAAGCTCTGCCATTTATGCGGATGCTGTCATGTCCAAGGAAAATATTGCATTTAGCTTTCTCACAGCGCATACTCCAAGCCTTCTGCTGTACATCAACACCTACTTTCATGAATATTTGGCTGTGATTCTCTCCAAGAATGGTAAGTACTCTTGATTTGCTACCAAAGGGGAGACCAGTGTAACTGGTTTTTTGTGAGAATAGTATATAATTCTGCACTGATTTAAGTTCATTTCTGTGTCTGCAACTTTATCAACTTCATGGTATTCAGTTCATGCAAATGGCCATCACTCATGTTTATGTCCCTTTAGTTAGCATTCAGTGCTGCACTTGCCTATTCAGTCTTTGAATAATCATGTTGTTGGGGCTTAAAATGTGCTTTGACTTTCATTTGGCAAGACTGTACAATAGCAATTCCTTGCTATTTATTCCACAGTGAGATCCGTTAGGCCTCCAGGATAAGGGAGTGAGAAATATCATGAATATACAAGAACGGTTGGTGCAGAAATAAATTATTATTTTATCTTTTGCATTCCATCTTGGCACAGGTATTGCTCTTGACTTGGTTGTTTCAGTGGAATATGGCCAGTTCATCTGAATGTTAAAGCCAGAAAATACCAAAATTTGCTAGGTTCGCTGAGCAAAACGTGAGGTGTAAAGCCTTTTTCTGTTAAAAGGTAAATTTTGAAAACATGGAAGGTTTTTAGGGGCGTAGGCCCTACGTCTTCTCTTTAAGACTCTGGCTCCTGAGTCCTTGCAGTGCTTTCAGAAATCTCACTCCAGATGAGCATCATCCCAGACAATCTCTGATGTTTGAATTATTCAAGAGTCATTCAGGCACTGGAAGTGATGAGTAAGCATATTGGTGAGTCACTAGCCTGTGGCAGAACAATAGAAAGTTAATGCTATGTGGTTGAATATGTGCATTTGACCGAATGACCCAAACCACTCTGAAGCCTTGCAAATTCCAAAACAGCTAAGCTTTCAACTACCGTCAAATGAAACTATAAGGAAAAATAAAAAAGGTTTTATTCTCTATATGGCTTTGCAATAGCTTATCTCCTGCTTATGTCCTCTGGCTCACATTTGGGCTGGTATGGGAGTATCCAAATCCCTGGGAGGGGCAGCTGGGATGGTATCAGCCTGGACCCGTCTCTCCTAAACAGAGTCACAGCAGAGCAGTGGGAATACTGAGGAAACTCTCTCCTCTTCCGTTCAGTCCCAGATTTCCATCTCTGATTTGCTGTCGGAGGCAAGTGTTTATGATTTTCAGATACATGAATATTCCAGTGCGTAGCTCCAGGGTGGCAGAGGTTAGCCCCTGCTGAGGTGAGACCTTGGAATCTGCTCCTCAGTTACACTCAGGTCTCTTGATGCCACTCAGGCAATCGAAAATAGTCCTAAAGTGAATGAAAATGTAATATCCATTTAAATCACCTTTACTGCTGCCAGAGTAGTGTAAAATGACCTTAGAAACATGAGTCAATTGACTTTCGTTGATGAAATACAACCATAAGCAAGCTGTAATTGTGAAGTTCTGGAAGGGGGGACTCAGTACTGAGGGAGCTGGCGGAAGTGCTCACGCAGCCACTTTCCATCATTTATCAGCAGTCAGACTGACTGGGGAGGTCCCAGCGGTGAACGGAGCTAAATCCAGTTGGCGGCCGGTCACAAGTGGTGTTCCCCAGCGCTCAGTACTGGGACCAGTTCTGTTTAACGTCTTTATCAATGATCTGGACGAGGGGATCGAGTGCCCCCTCAGTAGCAGGTTTGCAGATGACACCAAGTTGGGCGGGAATGTTGCTCTGCTTGAGGGTAGGAAGGGGGTTCAGAGGGATCTGGACAGGCTGGATGGATGGGCTGAGGCCAACTGTATGAGGGCCCACAAGGTCAAGTGCCGGGTCCTGCGCTTGGGCCACAGCAACCTCCTGCCACACTACAGACTTACTGCTCTCTGTAACTGACAGGAAGTTGTAGTGTGGTGTGTGTTGGACTCTTCTCCCAAGTAGCAAGGACAAGATAGTATAGGACAAGAGAAAACAGCCTCAATTTGCACCAGAGAAGGTTTAGATTGGATATTAGGAAAAATTTCTTTACTAAAAGGGTTGTCAGGCATTGGAACAGGCTGCCCAGGGGAGTGGTGGCGTCACCATCCCTGGAGGTATTTGAGAGACATGTAGATGTGGTGCTCAGGGACATGGCTTAGTGGTGGACTTGGCAGTGCTGGGTTAACGGTTGGACTCCATGATCTTAAAGGTCCTTTCAAACCTGAATGATTCTGAGATTCTAATTGTGGTTGGGGAAGGGGTTGGGATCAGGACACCAGGATCTCTTACAGCAGCTCAGCAGGAGCAGAGATACGCCTAGTATTTTCGCAGTTGCACCATCTGTAAATCTCTTGCTTTGGTTCACACGGGGATAGGGACCCTCAGTACTTCTGGAGGTTAAGCAGTGGTGATTTTCTCAGATTTGTACCTTTATTTACTCACTTGTAAAATGAATGTAACAGTAGTTTAGAGGGTTGGTGAAATGTCAGGCTCCAATACACTGGACTACAAAGTGTAGCACTATATGCAAAGAATTAATGTTAACCTTGGTTAACTGCTGAAAGTCTCTTTCAGGGTTACTCTGGGCATGCTTCTGTGTCATTCTTTAAAGACAGTCATTTCAGTCATGTATATTCTCTGCCTTTTTTTCCCCAATGTAATTATTTTTTAAATCTCATATCCTCTTATCTTGTAGTTTTGTTGGAATTGAAATTATTCCAATGAAAATAATGTTGAGATACATTACTCTTTCTTTTTCCAAGAGGTTTCTCCTTGCCATAAAGTTACTGGACTATGAATAACAACGTCCTTTGTAGCATTAAAAGTGAGTGTGATTCCTTCTCTCATATTGGTTCATTTTCAAGGAATCTTGCTGGGTCTGGCAGTGTATAGTAGGACCTAAGCAGGTCCCTGCTGGATAACTGATTGGCTAAATAAAGGTTAGGCTCCTGGTGAAATGGGAATGGGCATTCTCACTTAAGAGGTGAGCAGTAATATCCTTTGCCACAATCCCAAGACCCTTTCCAGTTAAGAAACAATATTGGAACAGTCTATGTATACTTTAATACTTCATCTTTTTAAAGTATTTTTCAAGCTACTATTCCTGTATCCTGTTATTGCTCTTTCTTATTGTCCGCAAAATAACTAAGCTAATTATTAGTTAATAAAACTGACAATGAGAAGAATGATTCTGGTAATTCAGAATTCCTGTGTTAAATATTTAACATAAAAGAACTGAAAGTATCTGCAAGGCTTATTCGTAGTTAGGCTATATTAAAAGGGCTTTTATGGAAGTGAACTTGTATAGGCAGCTATGGTCTAATCCAGTCAGGTGTGAGATGTTTCCTGTAAGATCAATTGGTTTCAGTAAAATTAATAAATAATCACATTTAACCCAAGCACACTTTGCGCTGTCAGTCTGTAAAGAAGGTCATAGCATTAGAAGGTACAGTACATATTGATTGAAACACTAGAATTGTGGTAATAAAATTATTCATTTAGAGTTATCCTACAGGCCATTATAAGGTGTGGGAAAGGAAATAAAATCTCCTCGTGCCTGCTCATGGCTTCACCCACCCAGCTCAATTCTGCCCACGCAGAAAGCCCTTTCAGTACTTGGAGCCTTAGAGAGCAGATGGTTCATGAAGGAGGTGAAGTTATCACAGGTGTTGGATACCACCATACATTAATGTAGAAGCTACACCTCTAGACCCATACAGACAGATGACCTCTTCCTGTAAAATGAGATCCTCAGTTACTGCCTACTATTTTCCCTAATCATTTTATCACTGCCCAATTGAACTCCAGAGTGCACAGCATGAACACAATCAAAAGATTCTTTGCCTCAAAGACTGAATTAGATTTTTTGCCTTTCTTTACCACAGGATGATAAAATCTTTGTTTTTCCTTTAGAAAAGTTGTTGGAGATGCAACCTGGCAGAGTTACAAGGCGAAAACAGTAAGGGAAATTTACATGCCTTCACCAGAAAGGCTGCTTCTGACATAGAGCCAAGAGATTACAGTAGATTTCTAGTTTATTAAAAGTAAAAAAAATCAGTGGCTTCTCACTGATGCCATTGGCTTCTTTCTTGCTGAGTGTTAATTCAGCTCACCTCTATTATAGGTATTGGTTTATTTTCCTACTTACTTCAAATACCAGCTGATTTCACCTCATAGGACAAGGCAGTGGAGTTGATCTGGGTCCTGCTACTATTTTCTGAGTATGAGACACCTAACAGAAGAATTACTCAAGCTGTTTTCATTAGTACTTTTGTTTTTAACTGTGCCTTTTTCCTTGTCTTTAATCTTGCAATTTCAGAGTCTTGCTTTCCAAAAGAAATTGAGAACAGAGCTCACTGTGCTGGCAATAAGTGCTGGATAGAAACAAAGACAAAAAAGGACTCAAATTGTTTAGTTTCTTATGAGATCAGATAATAAATACAGATAAATTTTCAATCACTCTAGGGTAGTTTGGGATTCTATCTCTTTTCTTTGATGCTGGCTATCTGCTGTTTTACTAGATTAGGAATCATATTGGTTCCATGGAGAAAGCCAAGAACACTGAGAATCAAAGACTTGGGAAAACATTTTCTAGACAATATACTTCATCATATTCATGTCACACTTGATTACTTGCAGGGAGGAAGGAAGAATGGAGAAAGGAGAAGCACTAACAGTTTTGTTCTTAACATTTTTCTCCCCCATCAATTATTGCCTTTAGGGATCAAGGCAAAGATAATAACACTAAGGCACTGGTAACTTGGTGAAATCATGTAAATACAAAACTGTACAGTGAAAATTCAGCCTGGGGAAGAAAAAACCCTTTTCTTCTGGCTGTAGCTCCCCATGATGTGAATAAATTCTGTGGACTGATACACTGAAAAGTCTAACTAGAGATGTTTACCCATTTTCTGTAGCCTAGAAACGGGCACTATAATTTCAGTTTTCTACATCACTGATACTAAAAGCGCACTGCCAATTAATACGATGCTGCTAATCTTTTGGGTGTGGGATCAATGGGACTATGTGAACTGTACATACATCCCCATCTATATACAATACATACGTATCTGTAGGTATGTGTAATTTAAAAATC